GAAGGAGACAAGAGAGGGTCCAGAGAGAGAGCGAGATCAAAGAGAGAGAGAGACAAAAGGTAGACCAGAGAGATAGAGACCTGAAAGAAATTTTAGGGAGACCAGAGAGAGAGACTAGAGATACTGTATACCAGAGAGCGAAAAACAAGAAAGAGACCAGAGAGAGACCAGACAGAGAGAGCAGAGAGGGACCAGAGAGAGATACCAGAGAAAGACCAGCGAGAGAGACCAGAGTGAAACCAGAGAGAGTTATGTGAGATATGAGGTGACTTGTAGATGATGTGGAGGACCTTGTTATGGTTGGGGTTATGGTCTTGGTTATGTGGTCTCTGCAGTCAAACACACATTTTTTATAGATAGACACTAAAGTCACATTTTTTCATTTTTTAAACCTCAAAAACAGTTCGCAGCCTGTGAGTGTGTGAGACTCGGTTCACACGGAGGTCAGCTTGTTGCTTGTTCTCTAATTGCCTTAAGATGGTCCAAACGCTGCACACGGGAACCATTACAACACGCACGGCGCTAATGAGGCTCGTGCAGTGGCGTGCGGCGGACGCGCTGCTGCAGCCGCTGGTTTTTACAGCGTGGCAACCATGGAATTTCCCACCGCAGCCTCTGTGTGCGAGCTACAATCAGCACATACTGTGGTTGTGTTGTTGTCCTGAGTCTGAGTTCATACGAGATCAAGAGAGAGAGAGAGACCAGAGAGAGAGACTGGAGAGAGACCAGTGAGAGCCAGAGAGAGAGCGAGATCAGAGAGATAGAAGGGAGAGCAGAGAGATAGAGGCCTGAAAGAAATCCTAGGGAGACCAGAGAAAGAAAAACAAGAAAGAGACCAGAGCGAGACCAGAGAGAGACCAGACAGGAAGAGCAGATAGGGACCAGAGAGAGAGACCAGCAAGAGAGACCAGAGAGAGGGACCAGAGAGCGAGGCTAGAGAGAAAGCCTCTTTTTGAAAGCTCCAAACAGCAGATACCGTGGTTGTGTTGATGTCCTGAGCCTGAGTTCATATGAGATCATGAGAGAGAGAAACCAGAGAGAGACCAGTGAGAGACCAGTGAGAGACCAGCGAGAGGGACCAGAGAGAGACCAAGGAGAGACCAGAGAGGGACCAGAGAGGGACCAGAGAGAGACCAGAGAGAGAGCAGATATTCATTCACTCGCTCATTACATTCAGACCTATTGTACATGTTTTTAGTAGTAGGGGAAACTGGAGCACCTGGAGGAAACCTACGCAGACATGGGGAGAACGTGCAAACTCCTCACAGAAAGAGCTGGAGATGGAATCGAACCCAGGACCTCTCTCTATCTATTCTCTCTCTCTGGTCCCCTGTCTTTCTCTCTCTCTCTGGTCTCTTTCTCACTGGTCTCTCTCTCTCTCGCTGGTTTCTCTCGCTCTAGTCTCTCTCTCTCTCTCTCTTTAGTCCCTTCTCTCTCTTTAGTCCCTTCTCTCTCTCACACACAATGTAAAGTAACATTACTGTCCTTTGTACAGTGTCAAATATTACCCAGTTATTTTTCTAATACCACACATTTCTGCGACACGACAAAAAGCAACACATACAGTCATCACTCCAACACAACTAACAACAAAACACCGCTAGCGTAATGTTAGTCTTTCCGCATTCTCTCCTCCCCATTTTTTGGTGACCTTCCGCTCTCTCCTCGCTCCTCAAGCCTCCACAGAGCTGTAAGACAAAGGCGGGTCTCTCTCGCTGACGTTGTTTTGGGGCTAAAGCCGGTCACACACACACACACACAGTCCCACATTGAGGCTGGGACAGAGAGCGTGTGTGTGCGTCTGATTTATTTGGTGCTAATTTTATCTCCTGTTGATTTATTGCTGTCATTAACTGAACTTGTGAGTCTGATTTGGACGGACACGCGGAACCACCGGCAGAGACCAGCTTCCCACGGGAGTCTCAATATGCGGTGACAGGGCCTCGCTCTGGTCTCTTTCTGGTGTCTCTGTGGTCTCTATTTCTGTCTCTCTCTGGTTTTCATGGTCTCTCTCTCTCTGATATCTCTCTGGTCTGTCTTTCTGGTCTCTCTCTGATTTTAATGCAATAGTCTTGACTCTGGAGGACCAACACATTGCTCGTCTCTTTATGAATTCGAGGCCCTGTAGTTTTGGCCTCTGATTTCTCAATGACTCTAATTACAAGTGGGAACAGTTTTGGGAGAGAGAAAGATCTACCTTCACAGTGGCTTACTGAGATCTACATTACTTCCTATAGGGTTTTGTTGAGTTAGCAGGTTAGCATTGTCCATCTGTATACAGGCTTTTGCCCTCATCACTCCCCCCTCCCTCACCCGCCTCACCCACCTCACCCACATCCCACCGTCTTTGTCGCATGCTTCAGGTTTTCACACGTTTGAACTGAAGCCTCTTCTGTCCGTTTGTGTATTTCAGGTCTTCGCTAACAGACCAGCCCTCAGACAACTTAACATTCCAACACTTTTCGTTACTTATTTTTCCTTTTGCGCATGCTCCACACTGCCCCCTCCTGGCCATAGACCAGTATCTCTGGTTCATCTCTGGTCTCTCTCTGTTCTCTCTCTGATCTCTTGCTGGAGTCTCTCTCTGTCTGGTCTGTTTCTCTCTTGCCTCTTTTGTGTCTCTCTCTCTCTGTCTCTGGTCTCTCTCTCTGTCTCTCTCTCTCTGGTATCTCTCTCTGTTCCTCTATGGTTTTTCACCGGGACTCTCTCTCTCTGGTATCTTATTGGGCTCTGGCGTCTCTCTCTCTGGCCTCTTTCTCGTCTCTCTCTGATATCTTGTCTCTCACCTAACACTCCCCATCTGGTCTCTCACTCTGGTCTCTCACTCTAGTCTCTCGCTCTCTGGTCTCCCTCTCTCTGATCTCTCTCTCTCTGATTTCTCTCTGGTCTCTCTCTCTCTCTCTGGATTCGCTCTGATCTCTCTCTGGTCTCTTAATCTCTGGTTTCTCTCGCTCTGATCTCTCTCTGATCCTTCTCTGGTCTCTCCCTCTATGGTCTCTCTCTCTCTGGTCTCTCTTGTCTCTCTAACAGACCAGCGCTCAAACCTTCCACTTCTTCTCGTTGCTTATTTCAGTGCATGCTCTACACTGCCCCCTCCTGTCCATTCTCCCACATCATTATTTTATCATCGAAGAACTCAGGAGAGAAGGCGAGAGGAAGACAAGATGGCCGCCGCCTTATGCTCTCTGCTTTTCCCTCGCGTTTGTTCAGACTTTTCAGGATTCAAACATGTGGATTTGTCTTTTTGTTTCTCAGAATGTCCTGTTTTCAAACCAACGAATTGTAAACACGTGATTTAGCTGCGAGTTTAGTGTTGCCGATACTGTATCTGGATAGTGAAGAAGAACAAGTATCTCTGGTTTCTCCCTCTGGTCTCTTTCTCTGTTCTCTCTCTCTCTGGTCTCTCTCTGTGGTCTCTCTCTCTCTCTGGTCTCTCTCTGTGGTCTCTCTCTCTCTCTGGTCTCTCTCTTTCTCTCTTTGGTTCATCTCTCTCTCTGGTCTCTCTCTCTCTGGTCTCTCTCTTTCTCTATCTGGCCTCTCTTTCTGGTCTCTCTCTGGTCTCTCTCTGGTCTCTCTCTTTCTCTCTTTGGTTCATCTCTCGCTCTCTGGTCTCTCTCTCTCTCTTGCCTCTCCCTCTGGTCTCTCTCTGGTCCCTCTCTCTCTCTCTGGTCTCTCTCTAGTCTCTCTCTGGTCCCTCTCTCTCTCTCTGGTCTCTCTATCGTCTCTCTGGTTTTCCCTTTTGGTAGGGCTTGTGGAATTGGGGCCTATGTTATTAGTCACTTGAAATATATTGATTTGTGATTTTAACGTTTAGTTTTACTTTTTCTTCTCTACTTTGTTTCATACACATTTCCTTTGTTCTAATCCATTGTTGAATTTACAAAAAGACAATTCATTAAACTATTAAACTCAGTGACTTTGTTTCCTCTAATCTCCTCATCATTTCTTTGGTGAAGCCAGTCCTGGTCCAGGTCCTGTCTCCTCCTGTTCCAGTCCTGGTCCATCCCTGGTCCAGCCCTGTCCTGGTCCTGTCCTGGTCCTGTCCCCTCCTGGTCCTCTCTCTCTCTCTGATTGCTGTGGTCTCTCTCCTGTGTTTAAATGCTGTAGTGTCTGTGAAGTGGCCGAGTCCTAAATTACAATGCCAGCGAATGATGAGGCTCAGAGAGGTCACCAGAACTCCCCCAGCAGTCACTTCGACTGCCCCCATTCAAACCAACGCAGAGAAATTGTACTTTTTCACCAGTAATAGCAGTAGCAGTAGCAGCAGCAGTATTAGAAGTAGTAGTAGCAGTAGTAGCAGCAGTAGCAGCAGCAGTAGTAGCAGTAGTGTTAGCTTTAGCTCAGGTCTAAACCAGATTCAGGGGTTAGCAGCTGGTGCATCCGGATGTGGACACAATGATGAGGAAAACATGTTCCCGACACACACACACACATAGAGATGCTCACACACACAGGTACACACACGCGCACACACACACACACACATAGAGATGCTCACACACACAGATACACACACGCGCACGCACACACACACAGGGCCTTGGGGCGATCGCCGGTCCTCAATCCAGATGTGTCAGAATGACTCGGCATCCAACCCGCCTTGAGACTGATTCTACTCCAACCAAATATAGCAGTATTCCGGCCACATTATAACTACAGTAATCTCTCTCTCTAGTCTCTTTCTGGTCTCTCTCTGGTCTCTCCCTGGTCTCTCTGTGGTCTCTCTCTGGTCTCTCTCTGGTCTCTCCCTGGTCTCTCTGTGGTCTCTCTCTGGTCTCTCCCTGGTCTCTCTGTGGTCTCTCTGTGGTCTCTCTCTGGTCTCTCTCCGGTCTCTCCCTGGTCTGCTGTCAACCTCACCTTCTTTATCTTTATCTCACTGGTAACAAGACCTAAGAGACTAGAGAGGACCTTAGGGACTAGAGACTGGGACCAGAACTTGATTTTTATGAAGCCAACAGGACGGCATCAAACAAACTCAGTCTCTGTCTCGATCTTGGACCTCACCTTGGCCTGACCCTTTGCTCTGCGTCCGACCCTTTGCTCTGCGTCTGACCCTTTGCTCTGCGTCCGACCCTTTGCTCTGCGTCTGACCCTTTGCTCTGCGTCTGACCCTTTGCTCTGCGTCTGACCCTTTGCTCTGCGTCTGACCCTTTGCTCTGCGTCCGACCCTTTGCTCTGCGTCCGACCCTTTGCTCTACGTCTGACCCTTTGCTCTGCGTCTGACCCTTTGCTCTGCGTCTGACCCTTTGCTCTGCGTCCGACCCTTTGCTCTGCGTCCGACTGTTTGCTCTGCGTCCGACCCTTTGCTCTGCGTCCGACCCTTTGCTCTGCATCCGACCCTTTGCTCTGCGTCCGACCCTTTGCTCTGCGTCCGACCCTTTGCTCTGCGTCCGACCCTTTGCTCTGCTTCCGACCCTTTGCTCTGCTTCCGACCCTTTGCTCTACGTCTGACCCTTTGCTCTGCGTCCGACCCTTTGCTCTGCATCCGACCCTTTGCTCTGCGTCCGACCCTTTGCTCTGCGTCCGACCCTTTGCTCTGCGTCCGACCCTTTGCTCTGCTTCCGACCCTTTGCTCTACGTCCGACCCTTTGCTCTGCATCCGACCCTTTGCTCTGCGTCCGACCCTTTGCTCTGCGTCCGACCCTTTGCTCTGCGTCCGACCCTTTGCTCTGCGTCCGACCCTTTGCTCTGCGTCCGACCCTTTGCTCTGCGTCCGACCCTTTGCTCTGCGTCCGACCCTTTGCTCTGCGTCTGACCCTTTGCTCTCTCTTCTCTCAGCTTCAGTCAAATCAATGCAGAAGTTCCAGAGACATTTCCTTGTTGTCATGTGGTGATGTCACACAACGGCAGCAGTTTGGACAGATCCATGTGACCTCTGACCTCTGACATTTGGACGTGTATCGACCTCTGAGGACGATGTTTTGATCTGAAAGAGTAGATTAGAAACACATCACAGAGCAATGTTCTGCTCAAGAAATCCATCAAATATGAACTTTCAGGATCTGACTCAGACCAGCTTTAAATGACAACATTCATTTTACTGATGCTACTGATGCTACTGCTGACTCTACTGCTAGTGCTGCTAATGCTGCTGCTACTGCTACTGCTGCTACTGCTACTACTGCTACTGCTACTACTGCTACTGCTACTGCTACTGCTGCTACTGCTACTACTGCTACTGCTGCTACTACTGCTACTGCTACTGCTACTGCTACTGCTGCTACTGCTACTGCTGCTACTGCTACTGCTGCTGCTGCTACTGCTACTGCTACTGCTGCTACTGCTACTGCTACTACTGCTACTGCAACTTCTGCTACTGCTACTAATACTAGAGCAGAGAATAGGGTCCGAATCAAGGGGGTACTCCACCTTTTGACCCGTCCTGCTCCACCCAGAGGCTACTCCACCTCTGCTGCTGTGACCTGAAGGGCTGCTGCTAATTATTACTATTATTATGTTTTTAGAATGATCAATTTTATTTTTATTTTTGCTGCTACTGGACACCTGAATTTCTCCTACGGGGATCAATAAAGTATCTATCTATCTATCTATCTATCTATCTCTCTCTCTCTCTCTCTCTCTCTCTACTGTTGCGACTAATGCTGCAACTACTACTACTGCTGCTGGTATACTAGTACGACTACTTCCACTCAGCAGTTGTGTGTTTTGATGGGACAAACCAGTTTTTAGGTTTAAGTGGGACAACAATGGAGGATTGGAGTGTAGCCCCAGGTGTGTGTCTGACACGCACAAACACAGAGAGAGACACACACACAGAGACACGCACAGAGAGAGAGAGACACGCACACTGAGAGACCTACAGAGAGACACACAGCGAGACACACAGCGAGAGACACAGAGAGAGAGAGAGAAACACACAGAAGAAACCCACAGAGAGAGAGAGAGAGACACACACAGAGAGAGAAACACAGATGCAGACAGAGAAAAATAGAGACACCAAATAAAAGAGAGAGCGAGAGCAGAGAGAGACCGGGAGAAAGGCCAAATGTACTAGTACCATTTTCTGTGTGCGTGCGTGCGTGTGTGTGTGTGTGTGTGTGTGTGTGTGCGTGCGTGCTTGTGCATGTGTGTGTGTGTGTGTCTATTCTCCTTCCATTAAAACACAAACCGAGGGAAGTGTTGTTGTAACTGAAGCTTTAGAAGTTAAAGCTAAAAACTGCAGAAAGTCTGTGTCTCTTTATGTGAGAAACCTGATCCTCGACCTCCTGCCTTCTCCTCCGAACAGACCCATGTTTGGCACTTTACCCTTCACTTCTGATTAGCCTGGACCAGCAGGGACCAGCAGGGACCAGGAGAGACCAGCAGGCACCAGCGAGGACCTGCCCTCGTGGTGTAACCAGAGCCCTGACTTCAGCATCACCTCCTCCTGACGATAACCAGGCCTCGTTAGCATAATAGCACTTAGCGTTAGCCTCCGCGACGTGCTGTATTATTTTACATATTGGTGCAAGAAAAACCGAAAAGGTTGTGGCGGCAGGTTCAAAAACGTAAACTCAATAAACATAATATCATTTGTTATTTATTTATTTAGAGTAATTTCCCAAAACAATGGTAATTAAAGGTTTTTATTGTTGAATTGTCACAACACCTGAAAGTTTCTCAGTTGGCTACTTGTGGCGCCCTCTGCAGGTGAAAGCCAGATCGGGTCAAACCACTAAAGCTAAGCATGACAGAGCCTGGTTAGTACTGTGATGGGAGACGGGGGCGGCTGCGGCTGTAAAGTGCCAAACTGGGCAAGACACTTGTGTTTGTGTGTTTGTCTCTCTCTGTGTGTGCGTGCCGTGGTCAGTCCAAACCTGTTAGTCGTCACGGCGACAGTAATGCAGCAGAATCTCCTGTTGAAGCAGGAGTCGGACATAATCTCATTTGTTGTGTTTGTTAGCACCGTTTAACCACTTTACACAATAATCCTATCACCTTCACCGCCCCCTAACTCACTTAGACCAGACCAGACCTGAGAACTGACTCTGAACCAGAGCAGATCTGAGAACTGACTCTGAACCAGAGCATACCAGGACCAGACCTGAGAACTGACTCTGAACCAGACCAGATCTGAGAACTGACTCTGAACCAGAGCAGACCAGGACCTGACCTGAGAACTGACTCTGAACCAGACCAGACCTGAGAACTGACTCTGAACCAGAACAGACCAGGACCAGACTTGAGAACTGACTCTGAACCAGAACAGACCAGGACCAGACTTGAGAACTGACTCTGAACCAGACTAGACCTGCCTGAGAACTGACTCTGAACCAGACCAGACCTGAGAACTGACTCTGGACCAGAGCAGACCAGGACCAGACCTGCGAACTGTCCTCATCAGGAGGAACCAGGGCTGCTACATAAGAGTGACATTTGTGTACATGTTTAAAGAGGTATCATCTATAAAACCAGCGGGAGACTAGATGGAGACCAGTGAGAGACTAGAGAGAGACCAGTGAGAGACCAGAGAGAGACTAGAGAGAGACTAGAGAGAGACCAGAGTGAGACTAGAGAGAGACCAGAGTGAGACTAGAGAGAGACCAGAGTGAGACTAGAGAGACCAGAGTGAGACTAGAGAAAGACTAGAGAGAGACCAGTGAGAGACTAGAGAGAGACTAGAGAGAGACCAGTGAGAGACCAGTGAGAGACTAGAGAGAGACCAGAGTGAGACTAGAGAGAGACCAGAGTGAGACTAGAGAGAGACCAGAGTGAGACTAGAGAGACCAGAGTGAGACTAGAGAAAGACTAGATGGAGACCAGTGAGAGACTAGAGAGAGACTAGAGAGAGACCAGTGAGAGACCAGTGAGAGACTAGAGAGAGACCAGAGTGAGACTAGAGAGAGACCAGAGTGAGACTAGAGAGAGACCAGAGTGAGACTAGAGAGAGACCAGAGTGAGACTAGAGAGACCAGAGTGAGACTAGAGAAAGACTAGAGAGAGACCAGTGAGAGACTAGAGAGAGACCAGAGTGAGACTAGAGAGAGACCAGAGTGAGACTAGAGAGAGACCAGAGTGAGACTAGAGAGAGACCAGAGTGAGACTAGAGAGAGACCAGAGTGAGACTAGAGAAAGACTAGAGAGAGACCAGTGAGAGACTAAAGAGGGACAAGAGAGAGTGAACGAGTGAAAAGACCAGAGTGATACTATAGAGACCAGAAAGATTTATCAGAGCAACCATGCTGAGGGAGAGACTAGAAAGAGAGACCAGAGAGGGACCAGAGAGACAGACCGAGACCAGAGGGAGAGCCCTGAGACCTGTCCCTTGGTGCAGATCTCACAGCAGAGTATGAGAAAAGTGGATTGGTCCTGAGTGTCTGTAATCCTGGCTCAGACGCTCATCTCCGCACCTCTCTTAGTTCCCATCCTACTCTCCGCCTCACCCCCTGCCTCACCCCCTGCACCTCCACCGGGAGTTCAGCCGAGCCCCCAGGACACTCCCCTCTCCTCCCCCCTCCACAGACCTGATGCAGAAAGGAGACAGGTCAGAGCCGTGTCACAGGACGCAGCACTTTATGAGATCTGTGTGGGGGTTAAGGAGAGGCCACAGAGTTTTTATACAGTCTCTCAGGTATCTCTCTCTCTCTCTGGTCTCTCTCTCTTTGGTCTCTCTCTCTCTCTGGTCTCTATTTCTCATCCATCTCTGCTCTCTCTCTCTCTCTTCTATCTCTGGTCTCTCTCCCTCCTGCCTCTCTCCCTGGTCTCTCTGTCTCTGGTCTCTCTCCTCTATATCTGGTGTCTCTCTTTGCTCTCTCTCTTTGGTCTCTTTCTCTGCTCTCTTTCTCTCTCCTCTCTCTGCTCTCCCTCTTTCTTCTCTCTCTATCTCCTCTCACTCTGGTCTCTCTCTCCTCCCTCTGGTCTCTCTCTCTCTGGTCCATACAATACATCATATATTGAAAACAGCAGAATCTCCACATTACAAATGTTTCTTTAAGTCCCTCATTTGTCCTGGTCACAGTCCAGTCCATGTCTCTCTCTCTCTCTCTCTCTCTCTCCAAATGGACCAGCAGTGGAATGTGCCTATAGGGACCATGTGGACTCTCTCCCTCTCTCACTCTCTCTCTCTCTCGTCTCTGTGTCACTCCAGTCCATCTCTGCACCACACACGCTTTTGTATCCGACACAAAAAGTGCGACAGGAGCAGTGACCCAAAAGTGTAAAATGAGGAAAGCAGCTCCACCTAGGGCGAGCTTTTAGAGCTGAGAGACGCTAGCAGCGACTATTTTAGACCCAAGAAGAACGTGTGTGCGTGTCCTCTGAAAAAACACAATATGAAGCTTCTATCAGCTCTCCTTACAGGCTCAAGGTCACACAGTGGCTGAGTGGTTAGCTCGCTCTCTCTGATCTCTCTCTGGTCTCTCTCTTGTCTCCCTCCGGTCTCTCTGGTCTCTCTCTGGTCCCTCTCTTGCCTCACTCTGGTCTCTCTCTGGTCTCTCTATCTGGCCTCTCTCTCTGGTCTCCCTCTGGTCTCTCTCTGGTCTTTTTTGGTCCGTTTCTTGCCTCCCTCTGGTCTCTCTCTTGTCTCTCTCTAGTCTCTCTCTGGTCCCTCTCTAGTCTCTCTCTGGTCCCTCTCTAGTCTCTCTCTGGTCCCTCTCTGGTCTCCCTCTGGTCTTCCTCTGAGCTCTCTCTTGTCTCTCTCTTGTCTCTCTCTGGTCTCTCTCTGGTCCCTCTCTAGTCTCTCTCTCGGATCAGATTCTCACCAAAAACTTGACAAATGAAATGACAAAGTTAATAAATAATTGAAGAGAGGACGTTTTGCTCATGACCAGAATCATAACTTTTGTTCTTGTCCCTAATTTCAGGTTGTTAAATTTGATATGTGACGCTAAAGGAAGCTCCTGATTGGTCGACAGTAAACACATGAAAACGTATTACAAAGACCTGCTCTTTTAATTCGATTTGGGAACTTTGTGCGTCAATAATTGTCCATGTGAAACTTTCTCTCTCTCCTCCTGGGAGACGAGCAGAGATACAGCCCAGGCTAAGCAGGGCAGGGTGTGGTCAGGAGTGATGGGAGAACCGCTAGAGAGACAAGAGGGAGAAAAAGAGAGGCCAGAGAGGGAGACTAGAGAGAGACCAGAATGAGAATAGAGAAAAGGCCAGAAATAGAGAGAGAGACCAGATTGAGACCAAAGAGAGACCAGAATGAGACTAGAAAAAAGGCCAGAAAGAGACCTGAGAGAGTCCAGATTATATGGTTATATGTTTAGCCCACGCCGTGTCTGGTCCTGAGGCTGTAACAGCAGTGGAGTGTTGCTGTGCCCTTGGGCCTGACACTTACTTGTGTGTTTGTGTGAATGGGTGAATGGATGGTTGAGCATGTGGACGGATAGCTCTCACACAAAGCAGCGATGCTCTTTTGTGCTGTACGTTATGGCCCACGCATGAACTCCAGCCTGGACCTCACCCCTCAGAGGGTGAGGACCGAAAACATGTGATGGTTAGGAATCATTTTCATCTCTCTCTCTTCTACTCTCTCATCTCTCTCATCTTTCCTCAACTCTCCTCTCTACTCTCTCCTCTCTCCTCTACTTTCTTTCCTCTATTCTCTATTCTCTCTCCTCTCTCTCTTCTTTTCTCTCTCCTCTCCTCTCTCCTCTCCTCTACTCTCACCTTCTTTTTTATAGCCCTAGATCACCACAGTATCTCGGAGGACTTTACAAATTGACACGTTGATTTGGCAAGGAACCACTCAACTGAGACTGTAGACCCAGGACTGAGGCTGTAGACCCAGGACTGAGGCTGTAGACCCAAGACTGAGGCTGTAGACCCAGGACTGAGGCTGTAGACCCAGGACTGAGGCTGTAGACCCAGGACTGAGGCTGTAGACCCAGGACTGAGGCTGTAGACCCAGGACTGAGGCTGTAGACCCAGGACTGAGGCTGTAGACCCAGGATTGAGGCTGTTGACCCAGGACTGAGGCTGTAGACCCAGGACTTAGGCTGTTTCGTGTGAAAGATGATGACAGAAGGTTTTTTTCTGATTTGTTTGTTTCTTTTCTTTTCCATGTGCCGTGTCCTGATCCACTCGCCTGCTTCTCCAGGTCAGTCCACTTTCTTATAACACACACACACACACACACACACACACACACACACACACACACACACACACACACACACACACACACACACACACACACACACACACACACACACACACACACACACACACACACACACACACACACTGCCTCTCTCTCTCCTCTCACACACACACACACACACACACACACACACACACTGCCTCTCTCTCTCCTCTCACACACACACACACTCACACAAACACTGGCCGGTCTGTGTCCTGCTAAGTTCAAAACCTCGGCCCCTGTGGGAGTCCGGGGCCTGGGGCCAGAGCCTCAAAATGGCCGCCTTTGTGTTTGCGTCTGTGGAGGAGCAGAGGAATGTGTGGAAGTGTCACAGAGAGAGAGTGTTTGGGTGAACTGTGAGAGAGGCCACGTGCTACAGTCACAGTTTACACCAGCAGAGAGAGAGAGAGCCATTACTACTGATGAGGAGAGAGACCAGAGAGAGAGCCATTACTACTGATGAGGAGAGAGACCAGAGAGAGACCAGAGAGAGAGCCATTACTACTGATGTGGAGAGAGACCAGAGAGAGACCAGAGAGAGAGCCATTACTACTGATGAGGAGAGAGACCAGAGAGAGACCAGAGAGAGAGCCATTACTACTGATGAGGAGAGAGACCAGAGAGAGACCAGAGAGAGAGCCATTACTACTGATGAGGAGAGAGACCAGAGAGGAAGCCATTACTACTGATGAGGAGAGAGACCAGAGAGGAAGCCATTACTACTGATGAGGAGAGAGACCAGAGAGAGACCAGAGAGAGAGCCATTACTACTGATGAGGAGAGAGACCAGAGAGAGAGCCATTACTACTGATGAGGAGAGAGACCAGAGAGAGACCAGAGAGAGAGCCATTACTACTGATGAGGAGAGAGACCAGAGAGAGAGCCATTACTACTGATGAGGAGAGAGACCAGAGAGAGACCAGAGAGAGAGCCATTACTACTGATGAGGAGAGAGACCAGAGAGAGACCAGAGAGAGAGCCATTACTACTGATGAGGAGAGAGACCAGAGAGAGACCAGAGAGAGAGCCATTACTACTGATGAGGAGAGAGACCAGAGAGGAAGCCATTGCTACTGATGAGGAGAGAGACCAGAGAGAGATAGACCAGATGTCTTGTCCCTGGTCTCTCTCTGGTCTCCGTTGATCTAAAGATGTAACAGACCTGATTAGTCCAAAAACAAATGAAACTATTGATAGAAGCAACAGTTTTAGAGCCAGGACCAGAGACGTAGATTTTATCACATAATTCTGTTTTATTACTTGATATTTACAAACCCGAGCTTTAAGGAACTGTATCTCGGCTTCTGTTTGTTCAGATAAACTTTATCTGACGACGTTAAGCTTTGAGGAAACACGGCGAGAGAACCGTGTTTGTGTTGAAGATAAAGAACTTCAGGACAAAAACACAAAACCATGTGGCGCAGAGGAAAGACCAGAGAAGACTTTAGATCCATCCAGGCTCACTCAGATCCTTAGACCCGGTGTTCTGTCGAGTTGGTCTGCCCGTCGAGATGATCTGGCTCAGATGTTAATGATGCAAACCTGCGCTGCGTGTCTCACGGCAGCCAAAGCAATCCAAGATGGCGGACATGTAGTTCGCGAATTGCTTTAAAAGTTAAAATACGAACAAATTAAGACACGAATGTCACTTTTAATGCAATTTGAGGCGAGATGTTGATGGTTCCGTGTTGTGATATGTGTGTTTTAAGAGTAAGAGTTTTGTGTAAAGTTTGTTTTAAGCAGTCCACTGCTCCTGTGAAACTACACTGCTAGTGTAACCCAAATCTGACTTGCGCATGCGCAGAAACCCGCCAGAATGGGGAAAAAACTCTATCTAATTAAATATTTAGTTTGAACACACTATTGTTAATCATATTGAATACAGTATGATACATGCATTAAATGTAATTTATTATTTCCATTATCAACCTGACAGACCAGTCACAGGACGCGTCATGGGTCTACGTCAGTAAAATGACGTATGCAGCAGTCGACACAGGGCTCAGGGACTGCGATCACACTGTAGCAGTGTAGTTTCACAGGATCAGTGGACTGCTTAAAACAAACTTTACACAAAACTCTTACTCTTAAAACACACATATCACAACACGGAACCATCAACATCTCGCCTCAAATTGCATTAAAAGTGACATTCGTGTCTTAATTTGTTCGTATTTTAACTTTTAAAGCAATTCGCGAACTACATGTCCGCCATCTTGGATTGCTTCGGCTGCCGTGAGACGCAGGTTTGCATTGCATCATTAACAGCTGAGACTGTAGACCCAGGACTGAGGCTTGAGGGAGATCATCTCGACGGGCAGACCAACTCGACAGAACACCGGAAAGTCCAAACTCAGGCCCGTGGGCTAAATGCGGCCCTCTTTGTCATTATATGTTGTTGTGTCCTTGGGCAAGACACTTCACCCACATTAGAATGAGTCTGGTGTGTGTGTGTGTGAATGGTTGGTGGTGGTGGAAGGGGCCAATGGCACAGATTGGTTTGCCTCGCTTCTGTCAGTGTGCCCCAGGGCAGCTGTGGCTACAGTTTATCACCACTGTGTATGGAGTGACCAAAAAAGCGCTGTATAAAACCAAAGCATCAGTATTATTATTATTATCATTACATTTGGCCCTCTGTCTCGCTAACACAAAGAGGTCTTTAAGATTACAAACACATATTCACAGCGTCATCCAGCCCGCTTCAGCTCCACCAACACAGGCAATGCTGTACCTCGCTTTAAAGTTGTATATTAGCGGCATTTGTTTTTGATTATGTCACAAAAGATGGATAACTGAAATCAGCCTTCACTATTTAACAGCTAATTAAGTGCTAATCAGTGAACCCTAACTCCAGCGCTAACCCACCTGGGACAGCGTCAGTTAGTGTTAGTCAGATGTTGAATAAGGACTAATAAGTGCTTAATAATTACCAATTAGGAGCTGATTAGCCATAATATATAAACTAATTAGCTGTTGATTAATGAGGGCTTATGATATATTCACTCTTCAGTCTCCGTCTGCTTTCTCTCTCTCTGGTCTCTGGTCCCTCTCTCTGGTCTCTGTCTTACCTCTCTCTGGAGTCTTTCTGGTCCTTCTCTGGTCTCTCTCTGGTTTCCATCTCTGCTCTCTCTCTGGTCTCCCTTTGGTCTCTCTCTCTCTCTTGTCTCTCTCTGGTCTCTCTCTTGTTTCTCTCTGGTCTCTCTCTGGTCTCTCTCTGCTCTCTCTCTTACCTCTCTCTGGTCTCTCTCTGCTCTCTCTCTGGTCTCTCTCTCTCTCTGCTCTCTGTCTTTGCTTTCTCTCTCTACTCTCTCTCTCTGGTCTCTCTCTCTCGGGTCTCTCCGTTGCAGACTTTTCTCACGCCGCACATAGAAGCGTCTCTTTGTCCACTCTGGTGTCGTCACTATCGGCTCCCATCATCTGCTGTAAATATGGGGCATTGTATCGTACTCTGCCCACTCCACTCTCCCAATCCCCCTCCCTCCCCTCTCCCCCCCCCCCCCCCCCCCCCCCCCTCACCCATCCTCCCCCCCCTCCTCCCCCCATGGAGACAGACAGGCGTGAGATTACTTTTCCCCGTCACCAATTACAATCACTCCGCAACAATCGCAGGCCTTCTCTGAACATTCCACCGCGTTTTTCGCACAAGTCACAGATTCAACGTTTACTACGCTCCCTCTCTCTCTCTCTCTCTCTCTCTAGTCCCTGGCCTGTCTCTCTCTCTCTCTCTGGTCTCTCGGGGTCTCTCTCTCTCTCTAGTCCCTGGCCTGTCTCTCTCTCTCTCTCTGGTCTCTTGGGGTCTCTCTCTCTCTCTAGTCCCTGCCTCGTCTCTCTGGGTCTCTCTCTCTAGTCCCTGCCTCGTCTCTCTCTAGTCCCTGCCTCGTCTCTCGGGGTCTCTCTAGTCTCTGCCTCGTCTCTCGGGGTCTCTCTAGTCCCTGCCTCGTCTCTCTGGGTCTCTCTCTCTAGTCCCTGCCTCGTCTCTCTCTAGTCCCTGCCTCGTCTCTCTCTCTCTAGTCTCTTTCTACTCGCTCCCTCCCTCAGGCCTCTTTTTCTTGTCTCTCTCTAGACTCTTTCTACTTACACTTGTTTATATCCGTACATTCTGACACACTCCTGTAAATCACTCTAAACTCCCGAGTGCACTTCGCTCTCACTTTGCTCTCGCCCTAAAACCATCAACCTGGGCTCTCTCTCCTTCACTCTCCTCGTATCGCCGCCTGGATCCTCCCAGGGATTCTCACTGTGAAAACCTGCACTTTTAAAGCAGCTGTGTTACCAGTGTGTGTGTGTGTGTGTGTGTGTGTGTGTGTGTGTGTGTTTGTGTGTGTGTGTGTGTGTGTGTGTGTGTGTGTGTGTGTTTGTGTGTATTTGTGTGTGTGTGTGTGTGTGTGTGTGTGTGTGTGTGTCTGTTTGTGTGTATTTGTGTGTGTGTGTGTGTGTGTGTTATTTATAGCGCTGCTGTGAGAGTTGCCGGCGGAGGCGAAGGTAATGGTGTTACTTTAGAAAGAAAACACAAAATATGACGAGAGCTTTTTCTCTGATGTAGCTTTGACCCCAATACTTAAGTGGTTCCCAACCTCTGGGCTGCGTACCCCTGATCCCAGGGTCAAAGGCTTTACTTTTATCGTTTGTGTGGCCATACCTGCAGGTTAAAGCCAGATCCTGTTAGACATCTGAAGCTAAGCAGGGCGGGGCCTGGTTAGTACTGTGATGGGAGACCTCTGGAACACCAGGTGCCACAGTGGGGCGGCTGTAAAGTGCCAAACTATGGTTGTGTCCTTAGGCAAGACACTTCACCCACATTAGAATGAGTCTGGTGTGTGTGAATGGTTGGTGGTGGGAGAGGCCGATGGAACATACATATTGCCTCGCTTCTCTCAGTGTGCCCCAGGGCAGCTGTGGCTATAGTAGTAGGTTATCACCACCGTGTTCGGAGAGAAAGAAAAATGATGTGAAGAAACTTTGAGTCCAGAAAAGCGCTGTATGAAACTGATGCATTATTATTGTATTTAGTCTGCTCTCTCTCTGCTCTCTCTCTCTCTCTGCTCTCTCTCCTCTCTCTCTCCTCTCTCTCTGCTCTCTCTCTGCTCTTTCTCTGCTCTCTCTCTGCTCTCTTCTCTCTCTCTGCTCTCTCTCCTCTCTCTCTGCTCTCTCTCTGCTCTCTCTCTAATCTCTCTGCTCTCTCCTCTCTCTGCTTTCTCTAGTCTCTCTCTCTGCTCTCTCTCTTCTCTCTCATAACCCACTTTAGCCTGTAACTTCCTGGCGTGTAGAAGCGTTCCCGTAGGTGTCATCCCTCCTGTATCTGTCCCATCTCTCTCTCCCTCTCTCCTTCTCTCTCTCCCCTCTTCCTCGCCGTCAGCACCTCTCCCATCTCTCGCCCCGATGCCGCCTCTCGCCTCGCCGACGCTGTCCTTAACCATCGGCTCTCATCAATAATTCACGGAGGAGAAAGGAAAACCGTTAGCGAGCGTTACACTGATCCACTGTGCTCAACCAATCTATGCCGTGTAAGTAATAAAACACCACACTCAGACGACACAATGAACGAGATGGAGACAGAGGAGACGCGCTTGTTAAAAATGTAAGTAGTCGGAAGCAACAAAGGGGGAGGGGGGGAGCTGAGGGGGGTGATGGAGGCGGCTGGGGAGAGGGAAGACATCTCTTAGTGTCTGTGCTCATCAGTGGAACGGTGCATTTTACGTTTGAGTTTATTTTGAAGATTTGTCATTGGAATAAGTATCTGGTGTCTCTCTCTCTCTCTTGTCTCTCTTTTGTCTCTCTCTGGTCTCGCTTTCTAGTCTCTTTTTCGGCTCTCCCTCTGGTCTCTCTTGTTTCTCTCTCTTGTCTCTGGCCTCTCCCTGGTCTCTCTCTCTTCTCTCTATCTGTTCTCGCTCTGGTCTCTCTCTCTTCTTTCTCTCATGTCTCTCTTCTCTCGCTCTGGTCTCTCTCTCTCTTCTTTCTCTCATGTCTCTCTTCTCTCGCTCTGGTCTCTCTCTCTTCTTTCTCTCATGTTTCTCTCTTCTCTCTCTAATGTCTCTCTCTCTTCTCTCTCTCTGGTCTCTCTCTCTTCACTCTCTCTGACCTCTCCCTGGTCTCTCTCTCTTCTCGCTATCTGTTCTCTCTCTCTCTTCTCCTCTCATGTTTCTCTCTCTCTTCTCTCTCTCTTCTTTCTCTCATGTTTCTCTCTCTGGTCTCTCTCTCTCTCTGGTCTCTCTCTCTGGTCTCCCTTAGTCAAGAGAGACCCGTGGGGAGGGAAAAGCATCTCTTAGTGTCTGTGCTCATCAGTGGAACGGTGCTATTTGCGGCGGTCCGTGGAGGAGGGCTGTCAGCGGACGAGGCGTGGAGCTGGATGTGTGTTTGATGTTCCAACCATTTCAAACTGCTCAAAAGAAACACAAATTGACTGAAGAAAAGCAAAAAATGGCTTGAATTTGTTAAAAAGGGCCTTGGTTGAAGTTTTTTTTGAAGCAGTCTTAATAGAATTACCTCTGGTCTCTCTTTTGTCTCACTTCTGGTCTCTCTCTGGTGTTTCTCTCTCTCTCTTCTCTGATTCTCTCTGATCTCTCTTTCTCTCTATTCTCTCTCTCTGGTCACTGTCTCTCTGCTCTCTCTCTCTGTTCTCTCTCTGGTCACTGTCTCTCTGCTCTCTCTCTGTCCTCTCTCTCTCTCTCTCTCTCTCTTCCCCGCATCATCTCCTATACCTCTAAAGGTCACTCTGCACTCTTGAACCCCTTGCTCTCTCCCCTCTCTCCCCCCTCTCTCCCCCCTCTCTCCCCTCTCCCTCACACATCTCCAATCCATGGTGCTTCCTGCTAAGATTCCGCACATTAGATCCATGAACGCGGACGGAGGTATTGAATATTTGATCTCTCGTCGTGCCGCCCGCCATGACCTGCCTCACACGCCCAGTCGGCCGCTCGCTGGAGAGGCCGTGTCGCTTCACATCAACCCAGCCATCCGAGCGGCTTCCTGTGAATAAAGCAGGGGAGAGAGAGAGGGGGAGAGAGGGAGAGAGAGAGATGGAGAGAGAGAGATGGAGAGAGAGAGGGGGAGAGAGAAGAGGGTTGACAAAGTGGTTCACAACAGAACATACACGCAAGAGTGAGGAAGAATCACAACCATTTGTTTCTCTACAGTTCAAGTTTTGGAACAACAGCGGAACAAGCATCTCTGTGTCCTTTCTGGTCTCTCTCTGGTCTCTCTCTGGTCTCTCTCTGGTCTCTCTCTGGTCTCTCTCTGTTCCCTATCTGTTCTCTCTCTGGTCTCTCTCTGGTCTCTCTCCGGTCTCTCTCTGGTCTCTTTGGTCTCTCTCTGGTCTCTCTCTGGTCTATCTATGGTCTCTCTCTGGCCTCTCTCTGGTCTCTCTCTGGTCTCCCTCTGGTCTCTCTCTGGTCTCTCTCTGGTCCCTATCTGTTCTCTATCTGGTCTCTCTCTGTTCTCTCTCTGATCTCTCTCTGGTCTCTCTCCCTGGTCTCCCTCTGGTCTTTCTCTAGTCTCTCTCTCTGGTCTCTCTCTGTGGTCTCTCTCTGGTCCCTATCTGTTCTCTATCTGGTCTCTCTGTTCTCTCTCTGGTCCTCTCTGGTCTCTCTCAAGTCTGTCTCTGGTCTCCCTCTGATCTCTCTCTGGTCTCTCTCCCTGGTCTCCCTCTGGTCTCTCTCTGGTCTCTCTCTCTGGTCTCTGTCTGGTCTCTGTCTGGTCTCCCTCTGGTCTCCCTCTGGTCTCTCTCTGGTCTCTCTCTCTGGTCTCTCTCTGGTCTCCCTCTGATCTCTCTCTGGTCTCCCTCTGATCTCTCTCTGGTCTCCCTCTGGTCTCTCTCTGGTCCCTCTCTCTGGTCCCTCTCTCTGGTCTCTCTCTGGTCTCTCTCTGGTCTCTCTCTGTTCCCTATCTGTTCTCTCTGGTCTCTCTCTGGTCTCTCTATGGTCTCTTTGGTCTCTCTCTGGTCTCTCTCTGGTCTCTCTCTGGTCTATCTATGGTCTCTCTCTGGCCTCTCTCTGGTCTCTCTCTGGTCTCCCTCTGGTCTCTCTCTGGTCTCTCTCTGGTCCCTATCTGTTCTCTCTCTGGTCCTCTCTGGTCTCTCTCTGGTCCTCTCTGGTCTCTCTCAGGTCTATCTATGGTCTCTTTCTGGCCTCTCTCTGGTCTGTCTCTGGTCTCCCTCTGATCTCTCTCTGGTCTCTCTCCCTGGTCTCCCTCTGGTCTCTCTCTGGTCTCTCTCTCTGGTCTCTCTCTGTGGTCTCTCTCTGGTCTCCCTCTGGCCTCTCTCTGGTCTCTCTCTGGTCTCCCTCTGGTCTCTCTCTGGTCTCTCTCTGGTCCCTATCTGTTCTCTATCTGGTCTCTCTGTTCTCTCTCTGGTCCTCTTTGGTCTCTCTCAGGTCTCTCTATGGTCTCTTTCTGGCCTCTCTCTGGTCTGTCTCTGGTCTCCCTCTGATCTCTCTCTGGTCTCTCTCCCTGGTCTCCCTCTGGTCTCTCTCTGGTCTCTCTCTCTGGTCTCTCTCTCTGGTCTCTCTCTGGTCTCCCTCTGGTCTCCCTCTGGTCTCTCTCTGGTCTCC